TGTTTTATTAATGTGCAAACAAAAGTCTATTGATTTAAAAGACTATATATGAATCCAATTGAAATAAAATTTTCTTCGATGAAAAGAAACCAATCTATAGAGGCCCTCCACCACCCCCGCCGAATTTTTATCGGCGGTCCTCTTTTGTTTGCGTTAAATTGCGTTTTTACATTTTTATAACTTAATTAATTTTGTTTACCACTTATGACATAAATTGACATAAATTTTATTATGACATAAAATTACATATGAACATGTTACATGTGTTTACAATAATACGCACCTGACTCTTACAATATAAAACATTAATAGAAAATGTTACACAGCACACACAACGTGTTACATATGTGGCTGTGCTTATAATTGTACAACATTTTTTATTAATGTGCAAACGAAAAATCAAACTGTAAAGGCAAATTTATCGATCAATTACAAACGAAACTCTACAGATTAGAAGACTATGTAAATCAAATTGAACTAAAATTTTAGTCGATAGAAAAAATCGACCTATATAGAGGCCCTCCACCACCCCTGCCGCGTTTAATCGACGGTCCTCTTTTCTTTACAATTTGGTTTTTTTACATTTTTATTATTTATTTCTTATATTTTTCTTATAATATACTTTACAATACATACAATATTATAAAAGAAATAACAACGTTACAAAATTAAAAATATAATATCTGTACAATACCTACAATATTTCTCTCGACGTTATATATAAAATATTCAGTATACGTACAATAACACGAAATTCTTTTTACGTACTTATTATATTAAAGTTATTGTTACTTCGTTAATTTATGCTACCTAATCTTTTAAACTCTCGAATTATGTCCCCCTATCCCTGATTATCCGAATCCCTACCTACCCGTATTCTGATCTATAGACCTACTTATCCATTTTCTACCTACCCGTGTTTCAACATAATGAATCTACAAATCTTTAATTAACCGCGACGCGATTAACTAGGGGTTTGACTTGGAGTTTAACGCGCCCGCGGGATTCAATAGGGATTTCACTCTCGCACATACGCGAGAATGTATGTATGTATATAGAAGCATAACCCACCCGAATTGTAAAGGCCATTCTACAATTGCGTAAACGTAGTTGTAGGGTTGTAGGAGTAGAAGTAGTAGTAAGTGTTGTACATCAAAGTAATATACAATAGAGTGAGATACGTCGTAATTGAAATGAATGATTAGTTAGCTTTTACGTCCTATATCGTTGTAGTCGTGGAAGATCAAGTTCAGTCATCTTTTACAACAGGCTTTACAATCGGAAATGCTAGTTTAAAACTGTGTTTTACAACACTGTACAACCGCTAACAACCACGTTTACGCAATTGTAGAATAGCCTTAACAAATCAAAAGAAATTAAAGTATACTTCGTACAGCACCTTACTTAGGTACTCCATCAAAGTGGCCAATATTGACCACTTACCTCGTCGTATTTAGTCCATCGTTGGGCCAGATTGGACATACCTTTCGTTGCTCCCGGCCATACAATCTGGTCATTTTGACCAGAGATCAGGAGGGAAGAAAACTCCTTCCATAGTCGATTATCGTCACCGACAAATATTTCGTACGGTTCGAATATACGAGTGTCGATCGTATCGCAAAGTGCACGACCACGAGAGGTTAATTAAAGAAGAATATTAATTCAAAAAACTTTACTGTATATACGAATCAAATTTAATTTTACTTCCGTCATTACTTTTCGTAACTTGATTTTTGAGTTCGAAATTCAAGTAGATATAGAAAAAAAATTTACTTCGCGTTAGAGTGATATTTTAATCATATTCCTCGATAAATTAAAATTTATAATATGGATAAAATTAAATAATTAATTGAAAATTTACCCTGAAAAGCCGATCGCGAAAACCGACCGCGAAAATACAAAGATGCGTGTGACTATGCATGTATTTATGCGAGACGCATCTTGAAAGTACGTATATCACGTACATGTACATACACACATACAAATAATAAATGATGTGAGATCCAGAAAATCGAAACTTCTTTCACGATTCCAACCGATATTATAATTGCATATTATAATTAATTAATAACCGAAAATAATATATAAAATAAGTTAAAATTTCAGTGTTCTGGACAAAACCTATTAGAATCTCACATCATATTATTTTACTTTATCAATTTACTAGATCAATTCATTAATGAAAATGGATAGACTACAAAAGATTAGCTCGGCGAATGCATCGTTAATATTCGCCATATTTCGTTTAAGTTCTGTGATGTAATTCAACGATTTTCAACATGGAAAAGTGAGCTCGACATACCCTGATTTGTAGAGCTCTATGAAATTAAGTGAATGTGAAAGAAACTTTAAGTTGAACTCCTTGAACTTTAGAGGCTCCGCTGTAGGAAAGAATAAATCCCAGATCTTCCGGATTGCCTCCGATAGCGGTCATTTCAGCAGGGAGTTAACGACGATCGTTTCTTATAGCATTGAATCTCGTGTATTTTAATTTTTATTGAAATATAAATCATTTTTCCATTATTAGTGTTAATGGGAGAATATTTATTGAGAAGGATATGTATAAAATCTTCTCCCCTTCTTTTTTGTTAATGTCGCGAATCGACGTCGCGCCCTCGTGCTGAAACCGTTGCTTCCGGGGATCCGAGACAAGAAACCCAGGAATTAACTCTGGTTTTCCAACAGGATCTCCAATGTTCAACGGGCAACAGAAAATATAAACTACTCCAAATAAGGTCAAGGTCCTCGCTGCAAGAAAGAATGAATCCCAGATCTTCCGGATTACCTCCGATAGCGGTCATTTCGGCAGGGAGTTAACGACGATCGTTTTTCAAATCATTAAATCTCGTATGTTTTTATTTTTATTGAAATAAAAATTATTCTTCCATTATTAGTGTTAATGGAAGAATATTTATGGAAAAAGATATATGTATATAAAATCTTCTCTTCTTTTTTTTTATTAATTTCGTGAAGCGACGTCGCGCCCTCGTGCCGAAACCGTTGCTTTCGGGGATCCGTGACAAAGAAAACCAGGGATTAACTCTGGTTCTGCAACGGCGCAGCTAACTTTCCACGTTGAAAATTGCTCATACTCCTCTCCGAAGTTTCAATATGTTAAATAAAAAATTTACTTGCCGTTAGCATTTGAAACCTATCCATGTTAACGAATATACAAGGCAACGAATATATATGGCAACGAATATACAAGATAAACTACAATCTACAATCTACGATCTACGAAATGCACTGTAAAAAAAGTATGTAAAATTACATAATAAGTGTAGCGATTACTCTATTAATAACGGAAATATATAAATGTATGTACGTTTACAAAAAAATTTATTTACTCTTTGTTGTGTAAATATTCGTTTATACATATATGATGAAAAATTACAAATAAATGTAAAATTTACACAATCAAAAGCAAGCAGTTTACTTATTATAAATAATTTTACTTACAAGGAGTAAATTTATTGACGTATGTAAATATACACCTTTACTAGATGGTCCGAACATTACTCACTATAATACTTGTAATTTTATATATAATTTTTTTACAGTGTGTATATTCGTTGCCGTAATAAAAAAAGTTTCTGACTCACCGACCCGATGCGCAGCAGCGGAGTTTAACTATATGTTGATCCTGTAACATACAGTTATAAAGTTCATATTAAAACAGAGTATTCAAGAAAATGAATATTAAAGAAAATAATTTTTAAATTATTGAAAATAAACAAGAGAAAGATGAATTTTATACAAAATAAAAAATACTTACCCTAAAGTTGCTCCGCCGGTGCCTTCCCCAGGCCTCCTCCTCCACTCAGGTTGTCTTCTTGCACACTCGCGAAAACACAAAGATCGTTCGCGCGATTTTACACTTTGAAAGTCTTTAGTCCAATTACACAAACGGCACTCCCGAACGCGACGCGACACGACGAATCGCCGCGCGCGGTTGCGATTCGTTTAAACTGACGAAATAATAGCGAAATTATTCGTCAGTTCTCGAAAGTTCGTGCTGAAATGAACAAAATCAATTAATAAATGTGCTCTCTAAAAGTCAATCGGTGGATTATCACTGAAAACAGTGAATCGATTCGTTATTTTCAGTAATACTCCACCGATTAACTTTCAAAGAGTGTTAGGCCTGGTTTATCATTTTCTGGCTAACTGTTAATGGAAGTGTTAACTTTTGTTAACTGTTAGTGGAAGTTACTCGACGCTCTATGCTTTTCTATATTATTATCCAAGAAGAGACAGAGAATCGATTAAACTGTGGTCAACAGTTTATTAGAAACTGAAAAATCGGGCCCAAATAGTGCAATGGGTACCTTTGGTTGTCCCGTCTTTAGAGTCTGTACTCTCTAAAAGTCAATCAATGGATTATCACCGAAAACAATAAATAGTTACTGATTTGCAAGTATAAGTACACCACTGAAAATCGCAGTGGTATACTTGTAACTTTAAATCCGTGACTATAATTCACTGTTTTCTGTGATAATTCACTGACTGACTTTTAAAGAGTAACCCTTCAGGGAATTAAGCTCCTCCATCGCGGCAAGGTAGTACCCAAGGAGAAGATTATCGACAAGAAATTGTGCAATTATGTGTACATGAATAATTTTTAAAAATTAATATCGAGCGTACATAAATTAGGCCTGCTATTTAAAACGTACTCTCTAAAAGTCAATCAGTGCATTATCACTGAAGACAGTTATAGCACCGAATAATTCATATAACTGTGAATCAGTGAATAATCACTGTTTTCAGTGATAATCCACTGATTGACTATTAGAGAGTAAGACATAATTTATGACACTTCTATACTTCCGATTGGCTATAGAAACATTTATTAAAAATTCAATTAAATTAGTCCATCGGCGATATTATCTGCGCATGATTTAACTTTTATGATAGTATAGCGACCATTTTTTGCAACGTAAAATCTAAGAGACGTCACGAGCAAATTATCAATAATATGTAAAAATGTTTATTTGTTACAGGACATAATCACGTCAAAAACCCAAATGTCGCTGGCGATTTGAACCAGATCGACAACAAGACGCTGCAGTGGTTCGGCGCCACAGTCTCAGCTTCTAGCAAGGACGGAGGCCCGATTCTGGTAAGTGCGACCTCCGATATCGAAATGCACGACTTGCATTTTAACCGTCAGACGTCAGCGCATTAACGGTGCAATGATTCTTCGGCATGGTAACGTGCCTAAGGCGTAGCAACGGTAATTACGAGCGTGGCCAATGTAACGTTGAATTTTTTGATTAACGAGTCGACCTGCATTCAATTGACATTCAACTGACAGAAGCCTCAATTAGAAGCATTAAAGTACATGACGATTTAAAATAGCTGATCCTCCGGAGACAGACAATTCGTGATAAAATAATAATAATTAATGATGGAAAGATTATACTCATTTTTGTTGCGAGAGATATTCATTATAACGGAAGCTAACTTTAATTTCGCGTACATTGTGTTTATAATTAGAAATCCCAAGGTGTTGTGCGAAAGCTGCCTAATGAAATAAACGATGTATGCCAACGAAAACAGACGACGAAAATCTAGTTACCGAGAGAGCTCTTGTTTTTTTTTACGAATATAATTCTGTTTTTTAGCCAATATAATAAGAATAATTAGGACAATGAAAGTGTGAGTAACGAAGAGTTAATTGCAATATTCTCTTCAAATTTTCAATCTCCGTTCGTGGGATTTATAACTAGAGGTCTCGGATAGATCTCCTGAGAGATTACAGACGTGCGTTCCCAGAAGGCCGCGGCTTCTATTTCAGGGTTCGAAAACAAACGAATTCCCGGCGCGTTCCACGTTTCGTTTGTGATGTTGAGACGTCTCGCGAGCGCGAGTCGAATTAGCACGGAATTCAGAAGTCAAGCTGTTTACTTTTGATGAAGCAATCACGTTGCGCGGTAATTAGCTGGAATCAAGAAATATTTCTTGCAAAAATACTTGATATTGTGATCGTTGAAATAAACTTTTTGGAATATGTAGCTGCTAAACGAGAGATCGGGGAATAATAAATTCGCAAAGTTTATTCGTTAATTTCTACTTTCCATCTATAAATATCGACCAATAATCTTTCTTTAAACATAGATGGAACAGTACTTGTTCTCTCGACTCTCTCGATTACGGTGCGGTCGAGGTAGTTTTCAAGTTACGCCGATTTACAACTCCGACGTGAAATTATGATCCCTTCGGTCCCTCGTGAAGCGGTCTTCGGCGTTCTCTCGTTATCTGATCGACACTCGCCGTCCGCGATACGTGTTAAAGTCATTATCCGCCCGCTCGCAGCTTCCACGCAGATTTCCGATTCAGAGTGCGTGGCGGAGCCCCGTTACGACGATCCGGCACGTTCGCGACGTAACGCCGGCGTGCACGCCGCCCTCGTCTTGCGGGATGCGCTTCTTGCGACGGGTATGCTGTCTGCGCGAGCGAAAGGTCGGACACCAATCTAGCGCGAAGATCTCTGCCCTTCCCGGGGACCTGGCGCTCCCCCACCCCTTTTTTTCCCTTCTCCCCTTCGAACCGCGCGGCGGCCCCTATGATGTACGAGCCGCCCTTATCTATCTTTATGTGCACCGCTCTACGTTGCACGCATGTGCGTATGCTCATCACGCGCGGCTGCGGTGGCCCCTGTGATGGCGGATGCGAAGATTGACTGCAGGAGAAAGATTGAAGCGGGGTGGAAGGGTGGCCAGGAAGCGGCGCTCGCAAATCCGCAGGCGGTCCGAGTGCATCAGAGTTTTCGGAATGCGCAGCGAGCCCGGGCGAACAATTAATTTTTCTAAGGCCCGGTTTCACCAAACGTCGCTTAACTTTAGTCTTAGTTTACTTCACGTTTGTCTCTTTCTGGAGTAACAGTTGGAAAGAAACGCAGGACGAATTTAAACTAAGCTTAAAGTTAAGCGACGTTGGCGAAACCGGGCCTTATACTTCTATTGTCCTCCGGTTAAACGTTGCCCTTTATTAATTCTTTTCCATTACTCTTCAAACTTTCAGACGTAAAGTATTCAACAAAGTGTTAGCCTATTTATATTTCATGTACGGTTTATTCGACTTTGCAGTACGCAGCACCGGAGCTTCTCACGAAAATGGAAGCGACAATTAAGATTACAAGGGTTTTGAATCGGATGGCGGAGCATCGCTCGACCCGAGTCGCTCATAGCGTTGCAGTAATCCCGCGTGATTACTCGGTTAAAAATGACATGTGGATGACTAGGTGGATTTCGAGGAAATTCGATACGGTCGGTCAGAACGAGTCGGGGGGGGGACCTCGTGACGGGCGATGGGTGCGCGAGCGAGGAGGAAAGCCATAAATAAGGCCGCATTCGTATGTGAGAGGCGTATTAGCGACGATTATCGTTCTCGTGCTCGCGTAATTTTCACATAGCGAGACGTCGCGCCGCACGCTATCCCGTCAACGACATTCCTTCCCTGAACGCGTCGACATTATACCGGAATTATCTACTTGTTCCAGACCGCGCGCGTCCCCCGGTATAAATGTACAAGGCTTTTTCCGCGATTATTCTTCCTCGCTTTCTCCATATCGCTTTTGTCCCTCCCCGCCTCGCTCCGCCATGCAATTAAAGATAAGTAATTACCGCTGGCAGATAAACGCGAAGAAACGTGCCTCGCTCTTTCGTTCTAAGTACTCTCCTCTTTCACATTTAGAAATTCCTTCTTTCGCGCTTCTCCGCTGTTGTCCACCGCTGTTCAATAATTAATGTTAAAAGTTATGTCGAAGGTATGCATGTGAGGGTACAGTAACGTGTTATACTGTTGAAATTAAATATCATTCACTAATTCACTGACGCGGTCGAGAAAAAGCGGGCTACGCGCCGATGGCACGCGATCTGTTCCTAGACTTCTGATACGTTTCTCGAAATAAAAAGAAGTGAGATTCATATGGATCCGGTAAAACTCGATTTATGAGTGATTAGTTTCTTCGTCTACGAGAAAGAAGGCACAGCCGGTGGAAGTCGCCGAGTGTCTTCTCTCTTATAACCGGAGGTGTGCGCGTGAGATGCATGTAACGATACCGCGCGTGCAGAGACTTTAACGCGTCTGCTTGTGGCGTTAAAACAATGTGCCGACGCGGCTGCCTTATTCCCGTCACGCGTGATTGACGTCCACCAGCGAGTTCGGCGAGTCCTCGCGAAAATCACACGCAAATTCGTCTCTTGCCTGATCCGAATTTGTACTCGTCCCTGCAGCGAAAGTGATCGAAGTCGCGATAGATCCATTTGCCGTTAATCGGCGCATTAGTCAAGCAAATCGATTGATGTCGTTCTGCAAAACTAATAAAAACGTCTCTACTTTCTATCTTAATATATCTATAGATATATATTTAATCTACTTATAGAATCGCAGAATTAATTCATTCAAGTATTGGAGTGTTTATGCACGTGATGAAAATTACAATAAGACAGGACTTTCACAGGATTTTTACAAGTTAAATTATTAAATGTAAAAATTAATTATGATTTAACAAAATCCAATTGATCTTCTTTTAACGATGTACTACGCGATGAAACCTATCCAATACGAATAATTCGTGCGTATTAAATCAACTGCTGTTTAACATGACTCTTTAAATATACTGCTACATGCAAATGTCACATAGATACACACACGCGCAACCGGATAAACGTCTTCTCTCGCTCCTGCTTACGTTCTTTTTATCGTCGCCACGGACAAAGGTCGAGCCCCTGAGTATCCGTGGGCGGTTGTCATCTTATCGAATAGAAACTCGTTAATGCTCTTTGTCGATTGCCGTTGGCGGATAATGCTTCGTTTCAATCTTTAGCGGTGAATTTCACGCGTTCACTTGTCGATCAACGCCATTGCCTCGCTGTTAATTGCCCTCGAGACAAAAGATCGCGCGCAGAAGCCGCGTGTGAAAGGTGAACGAGGGTTCCATGGATGCTGGAGGGTATTAGAAGCTTTATGCAACGATGTCGTATCTCCTGCACGGTCACGGTCATGGTCTCGCAAAAACTACGCATATTCTTATTCATCTTTAACTCGTTTCCTTTCGAATCACGCCAGCATCCCTTTAAGACGTAAGGCGTAAGAAAATTACCGATCGCAGTCGATTATTCTCCTCACATATTTGATTGCGGTAGGTCACTTTCTTGAATCTTACGTCTTAAAAATCTCATTCTAGACGCCGCATTAAATAAGTTTGTTCTTTCCTTAAGGTTCAGTCGAACGTGGGATAAACGTTAAATGAATGCACTCTTTGCAGATTCAGAAGTATTATCATATTTCGTTTTATTCCGACAAGCGTGATCTAGGGCTCTTGTAACACACCGACGCCTACGGCATTATGCGAAGTGGAGCGCCTCGTGCGTCGTTGCGATTTAACGACCCAGTGGTTACGAGGGCGGCACCGAAAGGTCACGCTTCCTAGTTGCCCTTTCGTTCCTCTACGTACAACGCGTGTTGGGTCGATTCCGCAGGTTCGGGCGGAATGTTAGGCCCGCTTGGCGTCACCGCGCGCGAGTTGGCGAACGGGCGTATCCCGTTTGGACACGTAAACTATTCGACACCGCTCGATTGGACACGCACTATTGGACACGTTAGTATTGAACACTGTATTTTTGGACACCACATTATTGGACACAAACGTCACAAGATGGTCCATGCTTCCTATACCGGCGGGGTGGGTGCGGCAAGAGTGGCCGAAGGCTTTGCTTTTAGCAAAATCCCTACGCATCTCACTCATTTAAATTCACAGTGTCCAATAATGCAGTGTCAAGTACTAACGTGTCCAATCGAGCGGTGTCCAATAGCTACGTGTCCAAATGGAGGTTATCCTGGCGAACGCGAGGTTCGCGTCGGGACGGAGACCGGGAACCACTCGGCGGACCTTTCACCGCTGGACGCATTCCTCCCTTTCGCGCATCCTCCGGCGGACGCATCATCCTCCGCGCGTTCGTCCTTTTTTACCGCGATCCAATTCAACAGCACTTCTTAATCTGTTTTTTTGTCGCGACCCCCTCCGGTCCCTCTTTCTCTCTCGCGCGCGATCTACCGACATTTCAAAGATGCGCCTCTTGCTGTTGATTGTTGCCAGATGTTTCGCCCCTTTCG